CCCCATCCGCAAAGCCAGCTGGAAAACCTCCTGTGTTTTCTCATAGAAAATTTCAACTTTCCACTAACAAATCAAATGCCAAAGATTTTTCAGACAGAAACTTATGAAAGAAAAAAAAATCCCTATTGCTTGATAACATTTTCAGTGTCAGAAGATGGGTTTGTTTGGCAGAAATTGCAGGTTTTAAAGAACTAATTGTTTTCTCCGTGCTTTTTTAGATGCCTCCTGCAACTTCAGTGCTAGGGTACTCCATGAATAAAGGTCATGGTATCAGGAAAATGTTGTTAATTAAAAACTGATGTCTGTTTTAAAGAACCAAAGCATTAAAATATAAGTTTCCAATTATGTTTTTTTCTGAATCTTGTTAATCCAGAATTCAGAATTTTTTATACATAACAAACAGAAGTCCATTTGGAGTCTGGCTTTACAAAATAAAATTGCAGTTTCACAAAGTTAGCATAATAAAAAGAGGTTTTCCCATTTCTAATTATGTTCAAGTAGAAGCGATAACTGAGTGTAGCCCCTGTTCCATCACAAGGCACTTCCAGCCGCAGACCATGGTGCTGTGGCATAAAGTGTGGAGTGGGGCATGAAGAGGCAGTAAAATCACCTCATCTCCGCTGAGCGTCAGGCTGGATTTCCAGCTGTGGGTAAAACACCCAGAGCGCAGTTTGGGGAAAAACCCCAGCTCCGAGGAGCAGACCACAAACACAACGATTCCTGATTTAGGGTTGGTCAGGGTGGTGTTAAACTGAAAAAGTGTTGAAAAATCAATCACTTCTTACTGAAAGCAGAATTTCACTGTTTTTCCACTTTTTCCTTTTTTTAAAAAATTGCTCTTTATTTTGGCAGGAAGCTTGCTTGTTTTCAATGATAGATTTTTCTCTGTTTTCTTTCAGCCCTGTGAAAAGCCATTACCATTTGCATGCCTCTGCTCCAACACCCTGTTTCAAGGCATGAGCCATTGGGTGCCTGGACATGGGACTGGCCACCAGGACTCCTGGGCCTTTTGTGGTTTTCCCACTGCCACAAGAGGGTCCTTTTGGGGACATCACTCAGCATCACAGTATTCCAGGTATCCTTATCCCAGGATCCCATCTGACTAACATTAGGTAACAGCGTATTTGAGCATGACCAATGGGAGAACTAATTAGATGATGGCCACTGCATATGCAAGGAGCTAAGCTGACATTACATCAAGGGAGATGCTAATTGCAGCTGATTAATCCAGTAGCAAGTGCCAGAAAAAATATACACACAGAAGTGGCACTCACTGCTCAGCTATTAATTCCCATGGCATGCCTCATTTCCAAGAGAGCCGCATATAAAAGCTTTCAGCCCCGGCGCTGTCCTTAGGACTCAGACTCTCTGCTCAGCCCATCCGTCACTGGTTACAGGGTGAGTTGGATTCTGTCAGCTGTCTCGGATTCCTCATTTTTTTTCATAGCAACAGCAAAAAAAAAGAAGTTGGTGGTTTTTTTTTTTCTTTTTCCCAGACCATTTATCCCTGAGGGCTTGGCTATCTCTGCCACAGGATGCTCTACCATAAAGGCGACAGCGACCAGGACTTGTGCCATGATGGCTCGGTCTGTGGCGAGAAGGGCTGGACGTGGCATGGTTCCACAGGGTGCTGCCATGAAAGCCCCGTGGACGCCACAGACCTGCCCCCTTGCCACGACCCCGGCAGCCTCAGCCGCGACA